AAATGCTCTCCTCTTCGTTGAAGCCAAAATCATTGATTTTACTACGGTGTTGGCCCAATTTTGGCATTCTGAAGGGGGCAGCGCCCATTAAAGCAAATCATTCATTTTACGAAGGTTTTGAACCCATTTTGCCCTTCTGAGGGGGCAGCGCTAATTAAAGCTCCCCTCTTCTTTAATCGATTTCCTCCAAGATGGCCCCAAGAAGCGCCCAGGAGGCACCAAGAGGCCCCAAGATGGCCCCAGGAGGCCCCCAGGAGGCCCCCAAGAGGCCTCCAAGAGGCCCCCAAGATGCTCCCAAGAGGCCCCCAAGAGGCCCCAAGAGGCGCCGAAGACGCCCCAAGGGGCCTCCAAGAGGCTCCCAAAAGACATATACTACAGCCCTTTGGGCGTGAGTGGTTTAGAGAGCCCGCTCTGTTCTCAACCCCCTTCTTCCCCTTCGGGGAGGGGTTTACCCCTCCCCCTAACCCCCTCCCCCTGGGCCTGGAGAGGGCGTCTCGCGGGTCGTTGGAGGGGTCTTTTTCGACTCCTGGGAGTGCTAAAATTCGACACCCCTCACGAGGATTCTGGCCCCGACGGGGGGGGGAGAAAAGTGCTCGCCCCATCTGTGATCGATCGCCCGACAGATGGCCCCAATATTCTTCCCAGACCCCGCCCAAAGAGTCCCAAGAGGCCCCAAGAGGCCTCCAAGAGGCTCCCAAGATGCTCCCAAGAGGCGCCCAAGAGGCCCCAAGAGGCTCCCCCGAGGCACCCAAGACGCTCCTGGAAGCCCCTGGAGCCGCCAAGAGGCCCCCAAGACGCCACAAACGGCCTCCAAGAGGCTCCCAAGAGGCCCGAAGAGGCTCCCCCAAGGCACCCAAGACGCTCCTAGAAGCCCCTGGGGCCGCCAAGAGGCCCCGAAGACGCCCCAAAAGGCCCCCAAGAGGCTCCCAAAACGACTCACACCACGACGAGGGCCCCGAACGACTCACACCACGAGGAGCCCGAACGAGTCACACCAGGAGGAGGGGCCCGAACGACTCACACGACGACGAGGGGCCCGAACAACTCACACCACGAGAAGCCCGAACGACTCACACCAGGACGAAGAGCCCGAACGACTCACATCACGAAGAGCCCGAACGATTCACACCAGGAAGAAGGGCCCGAACGACTCACACCAGGACAAGAAACCCCAAACGACTCAAACCACGAGGAGCGCTGTCTCTCCCTCCTCCTCCGCCTCGTCCTTCTCCCGCTCCCACCACAAGGAGGATGTACAAGGAGGCGGGAGATGGGCTGGTGGGGATACGCGAAGCGTAAAGAATTACTATTACTGGAGGTTTATCGGTTTATCGGTTCATCGGCGACGCTCGCTTCCGCCTCACACCTTAGCATCAAATATTCCAACACCTTAGCCCAGCTATCCAACTACAATATTTGCTCTCCTAACCCCGCGACTACTACGATTACTTCTACTACCACCACACTACCACTACCACTACCGATACTACTACTACTACTACTACTACTACTACTACTACTACTACTACTACTACTACTACTACTACTACTACTACTTACTAACTACTACTACTACTACTACTACTACTACTACTACTACTACTACTACTACTACTACTACTTCTACTACTACTACTACTACTACTACTACGACGACGACGACTACTACTACTACTACTACTACTACTATACTACTACTACTACTACTACTACTACTACTACGACGACGACGACGACGACGACGACGACGACGACGACGACGACGACGACGACGACGACGACGACGACGACTACTACTACTACTACTACTACTACTACGACTACACCACCACACTACCACTACCACTACCACTACCGATACTACTACTACTACTACTACTACTACTACTACTACTACTACGACTACTACTACTACTGCTGCTGCCAATACCAATACCACTACCACTTGCAACTACCGCTACCACTACTACTACTACCACTACTACTACTACCACCACTACCATCACCACTACCACGATCAACCACTACGACTACCGATGATACAGCAACATCAACAACAACTACTACTAATACTACCACTACCACTACCACTGCCAATACGGTTGCTACTACTACGAATACTACCACGACAACTACTACAACTCCCACGGCGTTTACCGATGTTAATACTTCGACTACGATACGACTCCGGGAGCATTTTAAAAACTCTTGGGGCCTATCTAGGGCGTCTCGGGTTCTCTTGCCTCTTGATCGTGTCGCGATTCAGAAGTCTCTTGGAGCGGATTGAGGACCTCTCAGGACCGGGGGCCTCTTGACGCCTGATCATGTCACGATACGGGACTCTCTTGGAGCGGCTTGGGGACCTGTTGGGACCCAAGGTCGCCTCTTGGGGCGCTCCTGGGGTGCTCTTGGAACAGCCTCTCTCGGGGTCCTGTTGGCCCATCTTGGAACTATCCTGAAACCTCGGACGGCCATCAGAAGCGAAAAAAAAGAAAAGAAAACGAGCAACAGTTTTGGACGAATGTTGGCCTCTTCGGGGCCTCTTTGGGGCGCTCTTTGGCCACTTGGGACTGTCTTGGAACGTTCTTGGGGCCTCTTGGAGCATCTTCGGAACCATCTTGAGGCATCTTAAGAGATCTTGCGCTATCCTGGAGGTCATCTTGGGCTCCCTGAGGCCATCTTGGAGCCGTCTGAGGCTCCCTGAGGGCATCTTGGGCGTTACCCGCGACCGGCCACGTCCAGGTCCAGGGGAGGGGGTCCAGAAAGGTAGTGGGGCAAATCTCAGCCAACTGAGGCAAATCCCGGCAGACTGGGACCAATCCCGGATACGCCACCCCCAAACACGGACAACCCCCGGCCACCCTTATGAATGCATCATATATTAAGATACATCTGGATTCAAAATGTCTTCTTCTAAAGGTTCACTTTGCTCCCGTGTTTGTGGGAGCCGGGATTAGTACTAAGTCGGTGCACTTTCCTCTTGTGGTGCTGCGACGTGATCGTGGCGAGTACGACGGTGACGATAACCGATACGGGTATGCGAAACATCACGGCTTAATTACTTACTCGTCGTAAACGCACGCTGAAATAGTCACCCGTGCTCATTCTGCTGTCAGCCGGGCGAACAATTAGTAGTAGAAGTAGTAGTAGTAGTAGTAGTAGAAGTAGTAGTAGTAGTAGTAGTAGTAGTAGTAGTAGTAGTAGTAGTAGTAGTAATAATAGTAGTAGTAATAGTAGTAGTAGTAGTGGTAGTAGTAGTAGTAGTCGTAGTCGTAGTAGTAGTAGTAGTAGTAGTAGTAGTAGTAGTAGTAGTAGTAGTAGTAGTAGTAGTCGTAGTAGTAGTAGTAGTGATAGTAGTAGTAGTGATAGTAGTAGTAGTAGTAGTAGTAGCAGAAGTAGTAGTAGTAGTAGTAGTAGTAGTATGTATAGTAGTAGTGTACTAATAATAAGAGGAACGGTAGTGGTCAGTGTAGTGACAGTAATAGTGGGCGACCGATAAACCGATAATGATATGCGAAACATCACGGCTTAATTACTTACTCGTCGCAAACGCACGCTGGAATATTCACCCGTGCTCATTCTGCTGTGAGCCGGGGGAACAATAGTAGTAGTAGTAGTAGTAGTAGTAATAGTAGTCGTAGTAATAGTATTAGTAGTAGTGGTAGTAGGAGTAGTAATAGTAGTCATGGTACTAGTATAGTAATAGTAGTAGCGTCGGTAGTGGTCAGTGTAGTGGTAGTAGTAGTGGGCGACCGATAAACCGATAAACCGATAAGGATATGCGAAACATCACTGCTTAATTACTTACTCGTCGTAAACGCACGCTGAAATAATCACCCGTGCTAGTTCTGCTGTCAGCCGGGCGTGGTAGGCGAACAACTGACGAAGCGCAAAACATACTGCCAAATTGAACGAAAAGCTGACGGAACGCCGAACATGATGCCAAATGCGGCCGATCAACCAATAAACCGATAAACGCCTGGTAGTAGCATTAGTAGTCGTAGTAGTAGTTGTAGTAGTATTACAGTAATGGCATTCACTCGTGCTCATTATGCTGTCAGCCGGGGGAACAGTAGTAGTAGTAGTGGTAGTAGTAGTAGTCATAATAGTAGTATATTAATAATAATAGGAACGGTAGTGGCCAATGTAGTGGTAGTAATAGTGGGCGACCGATAAACCGATAAGGATATGCGAAACATCACGGCTGAATTATTTTGTCGTCGCAAACGCACGCTGGAATATTCACCCGTGCTCATTCTGAGCTGGGGGAACAATAGTAGTAGTAGTAGTCGTAGTAGTAGTAGTAGTAGTAGCAGTAGTAGTAGTAGTAGTAGTAGTTGTAGTAGCAATGTGTTAATAGTAGTAGGATCGGTAGTGGCCAGTGTAGTGGTAGTAACAGTGGGCGACCGATAAACCGATGATGATATGCGAAACATCACGGCTTACTTACTTACTCGTCGCAAACGCACGCTGGAATATTCACCCGTGCTCATTCTGCTGCCAGCCGGGCGAACAATTAGTAGTAGAAGTAGTCGTAGTAGTAGTAGTAGTAGTAGTAGTAGTAGTAGTAGTAGTAGTAGTAGTAGTAGTCGTAGTAGCAGTGGTAGTAGTAGTGGTAGTAGTAGTAGTAGTAGTAGTAGTAGTAGTAGTAGTACCTTTAGTAGTAGTATAGTAGTAGCAGTAGCGTCGGTAGTGGTCAGCGCAGTGGTAGTAGTAGTACTAGTAGTGGGCGACCGATCAACCGATAAACCGATAAAGATATGCGAAACATCACGGCTTAATTACTTACTCGTCGTAAACGCACTCTGAAATAGTCACCCATGCTCGTTCTGCCGTCAGCCGGGCGGTCGTTTCGATCGGGTTCTCCGAGGAGCACCCCCCCTGACGCGCTGAAGGTGATCGAGCGAGGAAGCACGAGCGAGAACGAGGTTGGCAGCGAATCTCCGTGGTTGGCCCCGCGGACTCCAGCAGGAGAAGTGCGTGGGATTAGCCATCCCGTCATGGCCATGGCGAATGCTGACACCTACAATCGCGCGGTGGATCCGACGATACCGGTACTGAAGGGTGAGACGCTGAAGGATTTCACCAGGTACAAGTGGGCGGTGCAGACGGCCGAGCTGGGATGCGAGTCCAAAGAGCAGAGGATCGCGCTCGGGCCCAAGCTGTACCGCAACCTCCTCGGCGCGGACAACTCGATCAGTGTTCCGATAGAGCAGACGGACCCGAAAGACGATGCAGTCGAGAAAAATGCCGAAATGCTGCTCAAATTCTTGGAGGCCAAACGCTTCGCCAAGAACAGTTTCCGCGAGCTGCCGAAGGCCTTCGACGCGTTCTTCGACCTGACGTACTTCGAGCGCAAGGGTGAAGAGCCGATGGCAGCACTCTGCACCGCCATGGAGGTGGCGAAGCGGAACCTGGAGGAAGTGGACCCGGACACGAAGATAAGCTTGAACGAGCTAGGGTACCACACTCTGAATCGAAGCGGACTGGACAAGGACGAGCGGAACCTGATGATAGCGAGGGCAGAGGAGACTTTCAATTTCACGAAGATCTCGACTACGCTCAATAATCTCTTCCCTCGCGGCGGCAACAAACACCGAGGACAGAATGCGAGGGCGGGCTGGCGCTGGACGATAAACGTGCATGACGGCGAGCCCAGACATGCAGATGAAGGAGACGCGCACTGTGATGACGGCTACTGGTACGAGCGGGGCGACGAGCGTGGCGTCTACGCGTGTGCTGACGATGAGGGCGAAGACGCGGACTGGGACAGTAGTCATCTGTTCAACATCGAGGATGACACCGACGCCTACCTGACGACGACTACTACCGGACCCTGGTCACCATGCGCGAGAGCCGCATGAAGAAGAACAAGTTGCGGGCTGCCAAGGGATTCTTCAAGGGAAGGATCGACGGCGTCGTGGAAGAGCGCAGCGACTGGCGGCAAGGCGGCTGGGGAGAGCTCCGGGAAGGGCAGAGGCAAGGGCACGGGCGGCGGCAAGTCCAAGGACAAGCGATGCGGCAAGTGCGGCAGGATGGACCACGCCACGTCCGAGTGCCCGACCGATGGCTCTCCCAGGAAGCCCTCCAAGGGCAAGGGCCGCGGCAAAGGGTCGAAGCCAGCCAATCGTCAACGACGGCTCGGGTTCGTTCTGGGCGACGAGTGGCCTGGCCTGCGCGGTGCCGTCATGCAGGGCATTGCCTGCGCGAGCGGGCAGCCCGAGAAGGTTTACGACATCATGATGGTGAATATGGACAGCGATCCGATCGTGCCGGAAAGGCTGGAGCTCGAGGTGATGATCTCAAGCGACGTCATGCCGGCTTCCTGGGTGGACAGCGGGGCCTCGATTGCAGTGGCAGGACGCGGATGGCTCGACCGCGTCAAGGCTGACATTGCGAAGTATGGCCTCAAACCCATCAAGATGGAGGCTCGCCAGAAGCTCACGGGACTCGGCGGAGCACGACGTGAGTCAAAGCAGAAGTGGACCATCCCGGTCGGCATTGGGAAGAAGCATGTGCTGCAGGAGTACTTCGAGATCACTGGCGACATGGTCGGCCTGACGAGCAGGAAAGACATGGCCGAGTGGAAGACGAACCTCTACATGCGTGAGGACGGCCACTGGTCGGATTTCCAGGAGCTCGGGGTGCATGGCACGGAGCTGGTGAAGCTACCTGGCGGGCGCGCAGGCCTCGACCTCTTCGACCACGACCTCAAGTCGTGCGAGTCGGAGCCCCTCTTCGAGAGGATTCGCGTTGATGAGATGCAGCCGGAGCCGGATGCACTCCCGGTCGCGGAGACGCTGCAGGAGTACGAGCTGGGCTTCCAGGTGAAGGATCACGCCGACTGGTGGGTCGCAGAGGCTTTGAAGAACGGCAGCAAGGGCGTCTTCAAGAAGGGCACGCTCAAGCGGATCGACAAGCTGATGAAGGAGTTCGGTCATTTTCGACGTACTGCGCGACAACCAGGAGACCTTCCTGTGGGAGCTGTTTGCGAAGGAGGCTCGCTTTACTCGTGTAGCCTCGAAGGGTGGTCATGCGAACGCGACCCCCTCAGATTATCTGTCGGGGATAACTTCAACGATCCCCAGACTCAGTCGGATTTCCTGTTCCTGATAAAGACCTTCGAGCCTTGGATGGTCTCGGTCGCGTTCCCATGTACACTTTTCTCGAACATGCAAGAGTTTCAGCATGCTCAGGGCATGGGCGACCGGGTGGGCGATCTGATCGAGGAGTTCAAGCCACTGGTCGATTTCTCGGCCAAGGTGCTTCGGACTCCGGCTGAAGGCGGACGTATCGGCATCGGCGAGAACCCTCTCACGAGCCGCGCATGGAACGAGGAGCCGATCATGGACTTGTTGAGCTGGCGCGGCGATCGACCTCCACTGTACGAGATGGTCACGCTGCACCAATGCATGTTCGGACTGACGGACGACTACGGGACCCCGATCCGGAAGGCCACGCGCACGTTGTGCCCAATGGTCCGTGCTTCTCGTGGTGGCTCGACCGCGCGCGCGACAAAAGCCACAAGCACGCAAACACGGTCGGACAAGGCACTCTGCTCTCGCGGGCTAGTGCCTGGCCGGACGACCTGGGCAAGAACCTGGTGAGTTCTGGCACGCATGAGGTAGCGCGGCGCACCGACCTGAAGGAGCTGGGCATGGGAGACGGTGTGACAAAGGTCCCAGGCCATCAGACCATGCGCGCGCTGGCCAAGGAATTTTAGCTGAGGAAGGACCTGATCGACGCAGAACGAGGCTGTTCCCCTACCTGGCGGAGCTGCGCGGCGCACATACGCTATGCGCACTGACAAGGGCGTGCTGGCCGACTTTTCCGACGCCTACGCGGACGACCCTAGCTTCGCGACGGTCGAGCTAGCCACGAGGTACCCGACCGACTCGGCGGTCGCGACCTCCGTGGAAAAGCCGAAGGTGCAGACATCCTTCCCTGCGACGGTGCCTCTACTCGGCAGCCGTCCGGAAGCGTTCGAGCCAGGCGATCGCGAAGCAGACGCAGCACATCGAGATCTACATCGTGAAGGTGAAAGCTTCGGCGACGAGCTTTCGGACATCACCGCGGCTCAGTGGGGCGCTCTCAGGAAGCTCCACCTGGACCTGAGCCACCCGTCGGCCCACGCTCTGAAGCGACGCCTGCAGTCCTACGGGGTGTCGCAGAAGGTGCTCGACGCGGTCGATAAGCTGGATTGCGTCGTGCTGCAAGGAGCTCGGCAGGCCCAACACCACGAGGTCAGCCAACCTGAAGCTCTCGACGGAGTTCAACGAGAACGTGTTTCTGGACGAAGCCATGGTGATTCTCTCAGATAAGACACGGTTGATGGTTATAGTGATCCTGGACGACGCGTCGAGCTTCAGGGTCATCATTTCTACTACGGCAGTGCGGTCCATCACGGGCGAGGAGAGCCTTCGCTGCTTCTCGCAAGGATGGGTCTCGTGGGCCGGCCCTCCGAAGGTGCTCTACTACGACGCCGCGAAGGGCCACATCACGCAGCGGTTCGCGGAGATCGGCGAGGAATACAACATCCTGATGAGGCCGGTCCCAGCCGCGGCGCCTCAGCTCAAAGGGAGAGTGGAGCGGGCCATCGACTTCTTCAAGGACCACTTCCAGCGCCTGAACCGCGACGTGCAGCTCACCAAAAGCGACGACCCATCTGTTTGGACTTCGGTGATAGCGAGTACGTGCAACAACCACGTCCGGCGGAACGGCTTCACGCCCTATCAGTACGTACTGGGGCGATCGCCCCACGTTCCGGCATCGCTGGTCGAGGCGATGGAGGGCGACCAGAGGCAGCTGGCAGTGCAGAGCGCAGCTCTCTTCGAGGACGGCCCCAGGAGGGCCGAGCAGATTCGCGCTGCGGCGAACCGGGCGTTCTTCGAGCTGGACAGCGACGACGCCGCGAGAAGGGCCACTGTTGATCGAAATCGCCCGCCGCGCGGGCCGTTCGTGCCGGGCCAGCTGGTGTTCTACTGGCGCGAGGTGCAGCACGTGAAGTCGAAGCGGTTCCAGGGCGAGCACGGGTGGCGTTAGGATGTTTGGTAAAACTGATGGATCTCCCCGTTTCCAGAACTGGCGCGGGCTTCCACTTGTGTTCCCCTTGCTCCTGCCCTTGCCTCTTTGCTTGCCCTTTCCCGCTCCCTCTCTCTCCACCGCCGCTTGGCGGCCCAAGCCTTTTCAAAGCCAAGCTGGGGGTCGGCCTCAGTTGGCCTAAGGCCGGGCCCCGAGAGGGCCAGAAGACTTCCAGGTCCTGGGTCCAGGCCTGGCAGGGGCGCCCGCGGCCGCATGATGCCGCGCCTGGCGCCGCGCGGCTGGGGGGCGGCAGCGTCGCCGCCCGCGGGCGCGCAGCTGCGCAGCGGCGGGGGGCCCGGGCGCCGAGCGGCGCCGGCTCACGCCAGCCGCGGAGCACCCGGAGGCGAGGCGGCATCCGCCGAGGCGAGGCCGCCGAACCCCCCCGCCGAGCCAGCGACCAGTCGCGAGCCCGCGCCGGCGCCGGCACGGTGCCAGGCAAGGGCGGCAGAGCGCGCGCGCGCGCCGGGGCCCACCTGGAGGAGCTGCCCCAAGGCCCCGGCGCCGCCGCCAGCCGGCTGGCGCTGCGGGCGCGCGGCAGCCCTGCTGCTGATCCTCGTGGTGGCGGCCGAGGCCGCCGACGCCGACCACGAGGCCGAGTCCGCGTACTACGACGACATGTCGGACGTGGACATGCGGGCGTTCTGGCTCGACGGCACGTTGGTCCCCACCTCCGTGGACACGCCGCCGATCGGAGCGCACCCAGCAGGCGAGCACGCAGCTCCCGCGGGAGGTGCCGGAGGAGGTCCGCCGCGCGAGCGCCCCGCGCCGCCGGCCGACCCACCTCCCCGAGGCCCAACCCGCACTCCCCCCGACCCCCCCGACTCGGACCCGTCGTCCTGGATCAGGGGTTGGGGTCTCTTCGGCATCCGCTGGAGAGACATCGGCAACCGCGCGCATTGGTTTGCCGAGGGGATGGGGGGAGGTACCATTCGGGCTGTGGGGAGTTCCAGGTCCCCCTTCTCGACTCGCGAGGCAGGAGGCTGGCTGAGCTCCGACGGCGGCTGGGTGCTGTACGTGGCCGACCAGGTGGGCCTCTACCTGTTCGGCTCCGCGTGGCCGCTGATCGCCGGGCTCGTGGCGGTCCTCTCCGGCACTGGCGTGGTCGCGCTCCTGGCCCACAGCCTGAGGACGCTCTTCGCGCCCTGCAGCTGGGCAGCCTGGACATGCGGCCTGGTGCTGGCGTGCTGCCCCTGCCCGAGGCGCAAGACGCCTGGCGAGGCTAAGCTTGACAAGCTGGTCCCGCCGGCGGCGCCGCCCCTCACCGACGTGGTGTGGCACGGCCCAGCTGTGGGTGCCGATCCGACGACCGACTGGTACCGCAAGAACATCAAGGAGGGCAGGGGCTCCAAGCGCGGCCAGAATGACCTCATGATCAGGGTCGACTACCGGGTCGCACGGCTCAAGCTCAACATGAAGTCCCCGGAGCGCATCAATCGCCAAGGATTGTGGGTTGAGTATGACTCTGTGAAGGGAGCAAGCGAAAAGGGCTTCAGGCGCGAGCTGGAGCAACGAGATCCGCGCTGGCTTCACCTGTGCCGTTCCACCAGCTGTACCGGGTGCAAGGGGCGCGAGAACGAACTGCGCTGCAAGGAGTACGCCGCCCTTGACAACGAAGCCATCGTGGATCTCGGCGACTATTCGAAGTTCACGCCCTGTCGGATTTTCGTCTGGCTCTGGAGGTGGTTGGGCCTCGTGTACAAGCTGCTGCTGTACGTCCTCTCGTGGCTCTCGTGTTGCGGGGCGTGTCTCTGCCGCCGGCGACGCCGCCGTCGCAGGACTGGCGACGCGGAGCCCGGCGTGCAGGACCAGGAGTCCGAGTCCGAGGTAGACGCCGAGGACAACCCCTGCGAGGCGGTGAAGGTGGGGCTCATGATCAAGGGCAAGATGCGCCCACTAGCGCCCGAGGGCTGTCGAGACGCCGCGCGCGGCGATCCGACCGTGCCGTTGGTGGAGGATGGCCGGGCGTCGGACCTTCCGCTTCCGAGCGAAGGGAGTGCGACGGCCTGCCTTTGCGAGCATCACAGGCAGATCTACATGGTCCTGCACTACGGCGAGAAATGCTCTCAGGTGACGTGCTTCCGCGAGGCGGTGGGCATGGCTTCAGGGGCCCCGCTCTGCTTTCAGCACCTTGGAGGCGACGCCGCTCGGGCGCTCCACGACAACCCCACGGGAGTCGGGTTCCTCGCGGGGCTGCGGCGCCGAGCTCGGCGGAGCCCGGCTCCACGGAGCCGCGCGCCAGAGCGCGCCGCTGCGGCTCCAGCCCGGAGTCGCACGCCAGAGCGCTCCGCCCCGGCGACCTCTGCTCCAGAGGCGCCCACCAGCCCTGGCGACCCCGTCCCGGCGCAGGCTGGGCCACCGAGCGTGCGCTTCGAAGCGCCGCCGGTTCCAGAGTTCCCCAAGCCGCCTACTCCGCCACCCATGCCTCTCGGGCGATACTTCATCGTACGGGCGAAGGTACATTGGCCAGAAGGAGCGCAGTGGATGATTTTCAGAGGGAGGGCGGCTGACGCCGCCGCGGCCAGCGCAGTGGCTGAATACCTCGACGGCGCGTTGGCCCTCGAAGTGGAAGACCCGACCGGCTTCACCATCCGCTTTCTCGTGAAGCCTGACGGCGTCATCCGTGCACCGTCCCCGGGACCCTCCGGGCGTCTGCCAGCGGGGTTCATCGAGGAGATGCTCCACCACGCGCCTTTGGGCTGCGAGGAGCTCGGCATCAGCGTCTCGGCGACCAACGTACCCGAGAAGGTCTGGCACAAGCTGGCGGCGTGGCACGGGCTCCCCGTAGGCGGGCGAGCTGGGCCGCTCAGCGAGGCTCGCTGGCAGCTGCTCCGTGAGAAGGTGGTCAACCTAGTCAGGCGGCACCCCGAGGGAGGCGTGGCGCCCAGCCCGAGCTTCGAAGCGCGAGCTACGGAGGCGGATGCCAAGCTGCGCAGCCACTGGCAGCGGCTCGATCGCAGCAGCTCGCCCAGGCCACCCTCTGGGTCCACGCGTCGCGGCTCTCGCCCCCCGTCAGCCGAGGGCGGGCGGGCAGCGAGTTCCGAAGCACCCGCATCAGGAGAGAGCCATCAAGGAGACGAGGGCGGGGACATGATGGCCTGCTACTTGGAGGAGAAGGCCCGCGGGTCGAGCGACGCAGCGGCAGTGCAGAGTGTGGCCGCCGGCTTCGACGAGGAAGCCCAGCAGGTGCTCGCTAGCCTCATCCGCTACGCCCAGCACCTCAAGCAGCAGACGGCCGAGCCAGAGGAACTCGCGCGGCTCGATGGGCACATCGGCAGTTGGGAGGTGTTCCAGCAGGTGCCCTCACGGCCGCAGACCACTCCCGCCCCAGCGCCACCGCTCGCAGGGGCCGCCGGCCACCCAGGCCGACAGCGCGCCCCTGTTCGAAGCGCGGCCGCCCCTCTCGCCAGCCGCCGCCCCGCCAGCTCTCACTCGCGGGCCGCGCGACGCCGGCCTCCCAGCCACCACGGCTGGGCTGGCCCTGGTCGTCCGCCCACAGGCTCCGAACATCGGGGCCCTGTTCCGCCACGACCAGCACATCAGCGACTTGGGCCTACCCCCAGGTCTGACCACAGCTCCAGCGCGCCACGCCGCGGGAGCCCCGGAGGAGGGCGGGGGCAGCGACCCGTTCGGCCTCGCGCATTCCGGAGCAACCCTGGACGCGAACACCGCGAGGATGCTCCACGCCTTGGAAGGGGTTGCCAGTGCCCGTCAGGGTGACAAGGCAGCCCAGCGAGGGACGGTGGCCGCGCTGGGGAGAGCCGAGGAGTTGGACGTCTACCTGGCGCGCGGTTGTGGCCAGCTGACCGTGGAGGTCTGCGACGAGGTCCTCGGACGCGAGCTGTTCTACGCTCTGCGCTGGACCTGTGAGCAGAACAAGGCACTGATGCTCGCCGTCGAGACGCCCACGACAGTGTCCAACCGGATCGCGATGGCCTGCGCCTCGCTCAGCTTCGGCGGCAGCAGCTTAGACAACTTGGCCCCGTGGTCGGCCTCCGTGGCGGACTTCCCGACGTGCAAGACGGTCGCGTTCGACAAGTACAGCGCGCCGCACGACACGAAGCTGGAACCCAGGCCCAGGGCCCCCGTGGTCTTCGATCAGTGGAAGCGGCAGGCCCAGAACATGACCAGGTTCTTTGGGCTCGTCTTCGGACGAGAGCATGTCAAAGAGCGTCTGGATTGCTTGGAGACTCTCGCGCGGGAGTGCGAGAAGGACGACCGCGCCTTCCCGCCCAAGTTCGTCTACGAGCTGTGGGAGGAGCTGTGGGCCACCTGGCGTGAGCGACTTCGAGAGAAGAAGCGATGCCTCCTGCGCGTGTTGCAGACAGACAATCCTCGGAAGGAGGATCTCAAAATGGTGGCCTTCGCTCCCAGGTCGGGGGACGCCCGGCGTTCGTCTTTCCCAACGTCTTCGACCTCGAGTCCCCCACGGGCTACTACCAAGAGGTCGTGCGCCCGCGGCAGCAGCGCTACCTCCAGACCGTCCTCAACGACTCAATGCACGGGGCGCGCGGCGCCCCGGGCAAGGCCGGGGAGGTCAGAGGAGAGGGAGACGAACCAGCTGCGGAGCCACAGGAACAACGAGCAGGAGCCACCCCCAAGAAGAAGCCCAAGGCCAAGGCCCAGCCGAAAGCCAGCTCCGCACAAGCCGCATACCCTGCGGGCAAGCGGCCGAACGCCCAGGAGATCAAGCTTTCTGTCCGGCACGCGCCCTGCGACAAGCAGGGCAAGCCGCTCTGCTGGGACAACTCGACCTGGATAGGCTGCAAGAAGGGTGCCCAAGGGTGCTCGCATTCGCACGAGCTCATCAAGGGTCTGGACGTGCACTGGACCGTGCAGTGCCAACTCCTCAGGCGAGGTGGGCTCCGCAACGCCGCCGAGATCGACCCAGCTTCGGTCAACGGGAGGATCGCACAGCTGAGAGCCCAAGCTAAGGCCGAGGCCGACAGCAAGCGGGCTGCAGG